GGCAAATATACTTTCGATGGAGCTATGAGTGCGAGTACGAGTGTACCAGTTAAATGGAAGCCCTGTGCAGACATTTTTGCTTGCAATTTAATATAAGTCAAATGGAATTGGCTGAGTTAACTGGGAAATTTCTCAGTTTCTTGTGTGCTACTTCTCGGATGGGATAAGCCAATTTGAACGTTACTCTGCTTACAGTGACTGAAGGTGATAATTATGTGTACTTGTTTAATATTTTGAGCTGAGCTTTTGCAAGCGTTTTGAGAAAATTACATACGCTTCTCATGGCCAATAAGAAAACCTTCTCTGCCATTTGTCCCTCACTGTAATAATTCCCCTGACTCCCAGTAAATAATGCTATTTTGTGGTAATTAAATAGTACAAATCAGAGCTAGTACACTGTGGCAGTATTGCTTGCGGAAGCAATCAAACAAACGCAGTAACAAGGATTGCATTAGGATGCATACAAAAGCACTCCAGGACATCAGGAGACCACAAAAGGTGCACAGGCAAACAGGTGCCAAGAGGCAGGCGAAGCAAAGGGAGCAGGAACAGCACTTGCTGCTACAATATACAACAAGGTAAGCAACCAACAACCCCAGTTCCTGCCAGAACAGGTGGGAGTACGCCTGTTCCATGCAGGAGCCAAAAAGGATCCGAAATAGAAGAAAAAGTGGGGAGCAGAGGTGGGAGCCATAGCGGATATCCTTGCGACACTAAAAACATTTTCTACCAAATTTACAATATGAAGTGGTTTGTTGTTTGTTTGTATGTACACACTCGTACATACATATGGGGGAAAATGTATCGGGTGTTTGCCACTACATTCACATGAACAAAAAAACATTCAAAGAACCAAGACACACACTCACTTGTATAGAAATGTTGCACTTCATTGCGTTGACAGAAACAAACGTGCCAGAGTCAGTACAGCATATGGAAGTCCTTCCTTCTTCACTCCATTCGAAATATGTTCCTGCTATGTGGGAGCCCCAGCTGTTGCCTTTGCTGTTGACACTGAGTGCATTTCAAACATAATTTTCAATTTTCATGCATGTTTTGCCATTTGCTCGTGGAGTCTTCGTCGGGTGCAAAATGATTTCTCCGCTGCTCCAATGCTCGTGACACTCTTGGATTTGCTTAATGGCCGCTTAGTGGTTCCGCAATGGGCAAGTGCTAGTGGAAATATTATTGGAAAATCCTAGGATTTGAGTGTACTCACCACCTAAATGGCTTAAAGTATAAATGGAGATTTCCCTGACTGCGAGTGATAATGGATACTTTTTCGATGGGGCTGTACATATTTTTTTGAGAGGATATTCCTCGGCAAAACCTGACTTTTATTAAGTAAAAGTTTTTATGAACTTATTTAGTACTTATTTTGTGAACATGTGTATGTATGTGTGGTATACATTTTGTACCAGAACATTTCATTTTACAATTTATTTCTTTAATGTTGTTAAATCTTCCCATATTTATTAATGGCTTTTTTAAACCATTTCCCATATGATTCTCAGAAATTCTTGATTGAAAATAAGCTCTAAAACGTATTGTTTCATCATATTAATGGCTTTTGTGTTATGTAGCCTACATACAAATAAATTAATTGGATTTTCGTCTGAAAAGAGTACAAACTGATGTCAAATGTACACCATTAAATGCATTAAGCCAACGCCTCAATCCCAATCTCAGGCGTGGAGTATATCTACTTGTTTTGTGGATTGTTCGTTCCTACCAATATCTGCTTGTTAAATTACGAAAATAAATTTTAAAATATGCATATTTAATTCCATTCTGCTGTGTTCCGTAATTTAATGGTTTCAAATAACCTGCTTTTTTTATAATCACTTTACATTTAATTAGCATTCAATTGAAAAAGCTCAAATGGCGAAAACGAGCAGTTTTTGTAATGTGGTTAAAATCATTTGGCTAAGAGAATTAAATTGCTGCACAGCTCTCAGTGTGTGCCCGTGTGTGTGCGGATGGCAAGCGAAGCATTTGATATGCGCTTTGAGACCAAAGTACAAAACGCGTAAAAGCTGTTTAAAATGCGCACACAGGAATACACAGGGTGTTAAACCCAACCCAGCCCCATGCTCATGCATATACCCACTCGTGTATAGCCTGTGTTAAAGTTCGAGTCAAAAGGGAAGCCAACCTCCCACTCGAGCAACAATGGCAGCAGTAACGACATCATCCTGCCAACTAGGAATTGGACGGGCTTTAGCTTTGGGCCTGCCCCGGACTTGTCCTGGACTACACTGCACTCCACACCGCTCTGTTCCCCGAGGCGGCATAATTAATTGCGGTAATTAGTGTGTTGGCAACAAACAGCAAACACACGAAAAACATTCAACAACAGCGGCAACAAGAGCAGCCAGGGCCAGCAAAAGTAGCAAAAGCAGCCAGGAGTGGTCTGGAGAAGCCTAGAGGAGCCTAGAGGTAACAGGATTCCAATGCAGAGAGCGCATTTACTTTATAGAAGATTTGTGTTGCCCCCACTTCTGGCATATTAGTTAGTTCTCGAGAAAGTTTTATTTACGACTGTGCGGAGGGCAGTGGCGGTTTTTAGTCGGATAAGAAACAGCATATTCTACGACTCTTGACTGTTGAATACTGAACGGCTCATGGCGCTAATTTAGAGAGCAGCCGCATTGCTGTGGCATCATTAGAAAGAGCAAAATGATTTTTATTGCTAAACAAACAGACAAAGCCAAAGATGGGTTACTTCCAGTTAGAGGGACAAATACTCCTCGTATTTCAAGCAAATCACAGTAGCTAATAAGCAGAAGCTGTAGAAGTATAGAAAGCAAAAAGGAGAATCGTCTTCCGAGGATGTAGCGCCCCGGTCCACGGGCTGTTGCTCCAGCTTGTACTCGGGACTTTTTGCTGTTCGCTTTAATTGGTCACTTGGCGCGAGCACAGAAAAACAATTTAATTTTCCCCATTTTCTTATTATCTCGATGTAGCACTCCAGCTCGAGAGATTTCTCTCAGTTTCCGTCTGTGCTGGGAGTTTTCTTGTGCACGGGGGAGTCGAGTTCAGTTCCGTCCCATGCCTAGTCCCGTCTCAACTTCGGCTTCGGGGCAGCAACGTTTATGTAATTAAGCGTTGCATACTTTTCCGCTCTAGCTGTTCGGCAAAAGCGAAGCTGCTGCTGTTGTGCCCTCAAAGGCGGACAGGGCACTGGGGCGTGGCAACGTCTGTTGTGTGTTATTACCACCGCAGTCATTAAATCTTTTGTGTGTAATTAAAAAATTACAATTTAATGCCTGGCGCTCATTTATTGACACGGCGAGGGGCGCTACAAAGCATCCGTCCATGGGAGGGTCATCGTCATCCCAACACAAGGACTTGTCGAGTGGAAAATCTGGACCAGCGTGTGGAACATGCTCCGGATAATGAGGCACTGATTGCAATTTTTAATAGCAAAAGTCAACCGGATTACATTCGTATAAGTCTGTTCATTAAGACTGATTTGGATGTATTTGATGCATTTTTAAATATTTTTAAAGATCCAGAGCTGACTCGTTTTCCTAGTCTGAAACTTTGCTGACAATAAAGCCCACTTATTTTCCTTTACACTTGGTTTCAATTGAAAGCACACCCCACATGCGGGTGAAAATTGTTGAATTTTGCACTATCGATAAGCCAAATGAAACGAGGATGACGAGAAATACAAAAAAATGGAAAAAGAAAAAAAAAACAGGCCGCTGACATGGAAATTGCATTGCCCGAATGGACTGACACACGCTAGCGTCAGTTGCAGATGCTCTCTCGAGTGGCTTTAGATGGCGGATGGAAAAGTAAACTGGGGCCATGCGTCGATTTGGTCTAAAAGCCTGCGCGGTGCCTGACCTGAGTGGGCGGTTTAATGCCAGAAATGGCCGAGTGCTGTTTTTTCTAGGCCAAATAGATTTTTTTTTTTGCCTTTGTGATTGTTGAAGTATGTTTAAAGCGTTCATTTTTGGCAGAGAATGGTTGAACAATCATAGCTCACAAGGAACATAAAATTAACAATATACGAACGTTAAAGTGATAACTTGTGAATAGAAAAAAGAGGTGCAAAGTGCCGCCTCATACGAGAGAATAAACCATGCAACCAATTGGAACCTGAACAGGTCTCTTTCTATCCCACTATCCAAGCCTCCTAACAAAACAAACGATCCGCTTTTCAAATTCAATCTTAGCTGATGTTTTGGGAAACACAAAACAATTTTCTAAAATGTCTGAGTGTGCGTGGAATTAAGAAGCGGGCAGATTGTTTTGAACCGCGTCTATTTGCAGACTAAATAACGTAAGCCCATACTGTTCGGGGCTCAGTGTGACGAGAATGCTAAATGCGGATTCCTATTCTGATGCGCTGCTGATGAGACGCATCCATGGCTATGTCTATGTGTGTGTGACTGGTAAATAGGAACGGGTACAGAGAAAATATTTAACGGGCGGTCTGGCAATAAAAGTCAGTCCGCACAATATGCCAACGCAGTCACAGATGCATCCGCATCAGCATCAGCATCTGAATCAGCAGCCGTCGTTTGGCATTCATCTGATTTATGCGGCTGTCAGCAATGGCAGCGTCTATACGAGTACTCGTACCGGGTGTCCCCATACCGTCATGGCGGAGACAGACATACATACATATGCGGGCCTTCGGTTGAGCCTCAGTTGACGTGGTTGATTGACAAACCGCTGTTTGCCAAAATGAACAGTTTGACATGCGGTCGGGCGGTCGGTCGGATGGTCGGATGGTCGGACGGCCTAGAGGTCTGATGGTCTGGCGCCTGTGGGATGTCCTAGGCCTACCGCACCTCGGGGCCCCTGGTCCAGTTCGGTGCAACAAATCAAAAATTGCTTTTGTCCGACTGCCGACACTGACAAAGGTGAGGCAGTCAATATTGCCACTTGGTTTGCTTGCATTTGTGGAGATGTATGTATGTATGAATCTATGAGGAGCACACATTCCAGTTATTGAACCCTCTGCTAACCATGAAACACGATAATTATCGATTTTACTTAGATTTACCATTTATTGTGTGAAAATTGTGTTACATTTTTGCTGTTTAAAATTAAAACTTCATAAGCATTCTCGCTTCTCATTGGAGAACTCGAAAGCAATGCCCAGAGCGCCCTTTCCTGCTTTGAGCGTGTTTCGTACATCGACCACACTGAATGTCATTGTCTGTTGGAAGACACCTAGCTTGATGGCCTCCTCGATGCCTGCATCGCTTACCAGGAAACAGCCCAGGACTTTGTCGTGGATCATATCCTGCACCCTCACATGGTAGACATTGTCGCGTCGCAGTAAAATCGACATCAAAACTTCACTGAATTTGAGGTCACCAATCAGCGCGATAAGCTCGAAGTGGAAACTGTTCAGAATTGGTAGATTCTTGTCCTTACAGAACTCACAATTACTCGATGAACGATCCTTAATCTCCATGGCTTTTTTCTTTGGATCATTTGGGGAGTGCGGTTCATTCTTTGTGGCTTTCACTGAATGTTCCGATTTTGTCTCACTATGGTCTTTATTCAGCTCCGCTGTACAACCAAGGCAGGCTGACGACTCTGTTTTCATTGCCTTGTCCTGCAATGTTTTGTTCAGCGACTGGACATTGGCGCTGAGCGTATCCATCTGATTGCGTATTTCGAGTATCTCATTCCTTTGAATTCTCTCCAACTTCCTGTTCATCTCGCACAACTGTTTTGATATTTCCGATATTAACGCAAGGTCGGACGAATGAGTCTCTTGGTCTGACTGCGAGGGACATGCACATGAAGGATCCTCTGTGTGTAAGTTTGGCCGTGGAAACTGGGGACTGTGAGATGCTTTTTCTATTTTTATCTCTTTTTTATACATTTTTTTATCTGACTTCTGTTTGGCTTTTGCTTGGGAATGGGTTTGACGATCCGCGTCTGTACTCTTTGGCTTGGGGCCATGCTTAGAGTGTGGCAATGGCACTCCTTCCCCACCGGGAACCACAATAATAGGTCTTTTGCACAAATGGCAATCCCTAAATGGTCTGGCTGTCTGACTACGCGAGGGGGCGCCGGGTGTTGGCTCAGTTGCCGGTGTTGATTGAGTGCAGGTACAGTACGAAAAATTCGAGGATTCAGATAAAGTTCCTAGTAATGTCACAACTGCCGGCTGTGGCTCTGTTTTCGGTAGCAGCTCTGGCTCCGCGCAAACTTTAATATTCGAAGCACCCAGATCATTTTTCGAATCCCCAGAGGCAGGCTTGGCAGGCTTCGGTTCAAAGCAGCCACAGTTTTTCGGAAGCTTTTCGACTCTGCTTGTAGCAGACGAGGACTTTTCTACAACCGGACTAAAACTTGTGTGAGGCTCGGCAGCTCCGTCGGTCCCGCACGGCGGCCTGACCATATCCGGGGATGTATTTGAGTTCGGATTATTATTGCTGGAAGCGCCCGCCGAAATGCGTGGGTGGTTGGGTTTATGTTTTTGTTTCTTCGTACGTTTTTTTGCTAATAGTTCCTCAACGCGCTTCACAGCTGTTTCGTATCGGGCATAGATTATTTTAGAAACTGCAAGAAAGAATATTACAATTTTGATCAAGCTCTTGGTTAAGCATCTAGCTTACGCAAGACAGAGCTGTGTTGCCCATTAATGTTTCCAAGCTGGTCATCGCTATCTTCCTCTGATGACTGATGACTTTCATCTTGGTCCCCGAGTCTTCTTGGTCTTCTTGCACAGCCTCTAATGAATGAAGATAACAGGCAAGCTGCGATTATAACATAACGCCTATGATCCATGGAAGTTCACACCTTTCATAATGCTTCAACCATTCCGAATGAAATTTACTATTTGGTTTGGCTTTAATTTCACACGAAACACCCAAACCAAGAGCTTCCAAAGATTTCTGACATGGATTGTCCATGATTGTGACTAGTCGCTTATTAGGGAAATAACCAAAAATTTACGGAACAATTTATCAAATGGAAACCTAAAAAAGAAAACAGTTTGAGCTGAAATGGATATTTGGCTTGTCTAAAACACAATTTGAATTGACAGAGAAACATGAGACTGACACAATTGGAAGTGTAGAAAAAGGCAGTTCTGATTCTGGTTTTCATTGTTAGCAATAAACTTGTATGTGCGTTTTGACTTATGTATACTTACCTTTGCGGAATATTTTATATGTTTGCGGAAAAATATACAACATAAAATATATGTTCGGTATCCATACTAACTTTTATTTTGGCTCACACACACTTCATAAACGATAAACCACAAAGCATTTATTCTTTGGCTAAGTTACATTCCTCTTCCATAAGTTAGAACTGTGCTATTTTGTAAAGGTTCAAATATCTTAACCAACTTTTGGTATACGGTCATTAGTCATCTCCTTTAATTTTGGCACACGTATTTTACATGTTTGTCTTCGGTATATGTAATACAAATGTTCAAATGCTTTTTTAAGCTCTTTTATATTGTTATTTATTGTTTGATGCCCTCGCAGGGTTCTTTTCAGAGAGAGTTTGTAGTGATTGTGGGTAGCTAACTTTGAATGATCTTTAGAGGAAGATTTTTAATATATTTTCATTTGTGATATATATTTTAGAGTCTAGTGTTTGCACATACATATAAAATGTTAATGGAATGTTTTGTATCAGTTGAATCTCTTCTCTTAAAAACATAAACATAATATATTATTATTATTTTTTTTGGCAACTTTTGGAATATATATTTGCGATTTGACCACTTTTTTGATTATATCCTCAAGATTTGGCAACAAAATCTTTTATGGGCGCCAAGGCCCAAGCTCAAAGAAGGATAGTTTTTGTTTCGGAAAAATATTCAGCTAAGATTTATTTCCAGATTTGCATACCGAAAATTGTTGAGCAAAACGGGAAGATACGGGATTTAGTTGGGATGTTTTGGGGGAAGCTTAAAAATTATCCTACTATGAGCTTTGGATCCATTGCATCGCAAATTTTAAGTTTAACTTTGGTATACCATTTATGCACTATGAGGATTCTTTTTAAATATAAATATTTCTATATGTTTTGCATAAATATTTTTCCTTTTCAACTATAGTTATAATCCTTAAGCAAGTTCAAAGCTAATTAGAGACTCGTACTAAACTTAACTAAAACATTGGTTTTTGGGTTGTATCAACAGTCGGATAAACCAAGAACTTAGACAAAGCAAATCAGACAGAAAAGTGCCCAGACGGACACGCCTTAAAGCTAAACAAAGCACATGGGGGGTACAGGGCTATCCGCGGTTTTGCTAGGTGCATCACCCGTCCAACGTTATCCGTTATCCATCATCCATCAGCCGTCACCTCGCATCCATTATCCGTCATCCGCCTGCAGATACAGATTCAATATCCCAGCCGTAGTGTCAGACACATCATAGCCATCAAACTGAAGCATAGGGACGTGGTTTGGGGCAGCGCCGAAGACACGCGCGGTTCCAGTGACAGCGTCTTGTACTTCTCCACTTTGGTGAAGTCACTGAAGCCTGCAAGGTTGCGGGAGGCGGCTCTCATCAGGTAGGTGGTGTCGGGTTCCAGGTTGGTAATGAGGAAAGTGGCACCTGTCGGGTGGAGTGAAGCGTGTGACAGGCATTATGTGACGGGGTCACGACATACTAGTATCACTTACCTTCTTCAAAGGGGAAGTCCTTGCGCCTGGCATTGGTCCACTTGCCGGCATCCGACTTGAACTCAAGCTCTGACATGTACTCGATCCGGAAGCCGTTCACCTCCATGGGCCCGCGGTCCTCGGGTCCCCGCGGGGCACTAACATCCACATCGAAGGTGTTCGAGTTGAAGCCGCGCAGCTGAAACGTGATTGGCGATGGGGGCTTTTCGCCTTGCTCCAGACGTTTGGTCCGCTCAATGCTGCCCAAATGATTGGTGGCCCGGCAGCGATAATTGTCGAAAACACTGGCGTTCAGCACATGAACAGTCAGCCGGGACCAGTAGTGGTCTCCCTCGATAGTGTAGAGTCGCTCGTTGCTGTGCAGCCGCTTCTGCTTCCGGTGCCACGTAAAGGTGGCCGGAGGCTCCGCCTGGGCCTCACACATGATAGACGCCGTCCCGTTGATGTACGCATATTGCATGCTCACAAACTGTTTGTGCGTCCAAAATGGTTTGTCTGTGAGGAATCAATTATAGCTTTAATTAAATTTTACCGCCAATTCTGCAGTAAACTGAATGGAAACTGAGATCCGTTGCCGCGAGCCTCAGGCTCACTGCAGTGCGGATGAGGCTCCTCTGACAGCTGACAAGTGACGCTCAAAGGTATGCCGGGAAAATGTAAAAATCATGTGCGGCAACCATAAATCACAGCCTCGCTGTGAGGCTTTTTGGGCAAGTTAAGCCATTAGCTGCATGTGTGCCACGCCCACTGACCAGGGTACAAGCAGGGTAGGAACATCAGCATTCATCAAAAAACCTGCTCTAAGCGAATGTAATTCCAGCATTTTTCGTGCTCAAAAACTATTTACCGCCCAATGCATTGCATACAAAGCAAACACATACATTTTATAACCATCACCTTCACCCCACAAAAGAAAAAAAAAATAGCATGACGCTCAAGTAATTCTACTGGAACCCCCAAAAATATTGCACACTGAGACTAGATGGTGCCACAAAATTTGTGGAACATATGAAGGTGTGGACCATCACCTGGTCCCAGTGTGCCATTGCTCTTGTTTAGAAATCATAAATCACACTCACGTTCGATTTTCATCAAAACTGTGCGCTCCTGCATATCGGAAGCAATCGAATTCACTTGGTATGCCCGGCACGTGTACTCGCCGGTGTCACTCTGTGTTACCTTGTTGATGAGCAAACCATCGGCCAGGATGCGGTACTTGGAGCCATCTGCCGCTACAGGGATGAATTCGTTCCCAAGAAATCGAAGAAGGGAGAGAAATGGAAACGGGAAAAATGTACTTTGGGTATTTGGGATTCGTGTAAAATGCATAGCTCATTATCTTTGGCCAACTCACTGTCCGCACTAATGGGCTGTCCATTGAAATGCCAGGTGATGTTTGGCTGCGGTTCGCCCTTCACCTCGCACAATATGGTCTTGTCTTTGTCGCCCTCTTTTACGGTTATCACGCTGGCGTTCTCCGTGAATGTAATTTTCTCTGTGTGGGGGCAAGAAAACAATGCAATATTAATGACTGCCCCACCAGCTTCGACCTCCCTGCGGGCGATTCCAGCACTTACGATATACAATCAAATCGAAGGATTTACTATGCAGGCCGCCCTCAGCAGCTTCGCAGCTCCAATTGCCCTTGTCCGCCAGTGCGATGTGGGCGAAAACGATTTTCAATTGTTCTGTGCAGCGGACAAAAAGAGAATAAGCAAACGAGCAGGAGAAATAAAAAGGAACAAATTGTGTATAGAATATATGGTTTGAAAAAGGTTAAATGGGGTTCGCAAAAACAAAGGCCAAAGCCCGAAGCATAAAATAAAAATAAAAGGAAAAATATAGATCAAGAGACGACAAACGGATACTCATTATTAACCCAATGGAATGGAAATTAAAACGTTAAAGAATTATTCAAAATGGATATTATATATTGAAGACCTGTTCTGATAACCGTGGCCATCATAATTTTGCATAATTATTTTAAATTAATTTTTAAGGGAATATTTAGGACTACATTTATTCCCCTTTTCCTTCCGATTCTTAGGATCGAGTGTTCAGATGGAATGAATGTAGTGCAGTAATGGAATTGCAATTAAATTCGTTTGTTGTGCTTGTGGCATTGTTTACTCGTGCCCCCTACCATCTGGCGCAAAAGCCTTTAGCCTTTAGTGTTTTGCTCGATTTTATCTATCCAGAGCTCCACACTGACCCCGATTCTCACCTGGCGATGTTTGCTCAATGTGGATGCGTCCTTTGTGCTCGCGTATAATATCCCCTTTCGGCGATTTCCAATGCAGCTTCACGTCCGGATCGGGGCTCCGGCACTGCACAATAAGGGATTCGTTTGTGTAACGCACAACGCTATGCTCCGCTGGACTCAGCGAGAGACTCTCATGGTGATTGCCCAAGACGACAGCTGCAAGAAGAGATACGGAAAGCGACAAAGGTTTAAGGCCTGGGCATACTCTAGTTAATAGCTTGTTAATTGCAGTGAATGGGACGTGGGTCGTGGCGGGAGGCGCGTTCCAGGGCAAGCCGGCTGTCGCCAGCGCGTAAAATGGAAATTGAAAAGTTAAGGCCAAGTTTGCCCGCTGCCAATGGCTGCCATTGCCGCATCCACTGCCATTTGCATAACAAGGAAAACAGTGCAGTCGTGCGCTTTATTTTCTTAACAACTCAAACAGTTTTTCCTGGCATTACGTTCACACATTTCCGTTAAAAAAAAAACTGCCAATATTAAGAATAAAGAGAGAAAAATCAAAATGAAAGAATTCAAACCTGGCTTTCATTCAGTATAAACGTATTTAAAGTTTAACCAAATATAAACCGAATAAAAAAAAACTGGCACCCGTGATTGCTAGTTTTGTTTAATATCAAGCAACTTTCTATCATTTTTTATAGGAAAGCTCAACCGTTTGTAAACATTTTTTAATTTATTTGCCTTGCAATTTATGTCGAAACTCGTTCTGTTCCAAACTGGCTTTTAGCATGCCTCACAGCCTGTTATTCGGGCCACACAGCAAACTGCACTCAACAGATGCAAATTCCTGCCGTGTCCCGTACTTTCACTTCATGTTTGCGCCTTGGCAAAAATGTTCATTGAAATTTATCACAAGAAACAGCAATTTCATTTTGCCAATTCATGTCAATCTGTGGAGGAAAATGGGAAAACGGGCTGCAGACAGAGAAAAAGAAAGAGGAGTGGAAGTGGGAAAAGGCTGTGGGAAATCAACCATCTCCAAACTTTAGCTACGACCGGATACCTCTGCAGCCCTGTGGGTATTCTGGCAAATGTATAGATGCGATGCAAAAATTTCTTGCATACTTTTTAATAAAGTTTGTTGCATGCCCCAAAGTGGCAAAGAACGAATAAAAACAAAAACTGCGAAACACTCCCAGAGACGGAGTGAGGGAAACATGATTGCATCGTTCATTTCGTTGGCAAAACTTTTCCATTGCCTTTTTTTCTGCTTTGCCAATTTTATTGGCAACAGTATGGACATATTGAAATTATGCAACTACATACATAATGATATACATACATAAATACGTGTACATAGAGCCTGCAAAAAAAGACCAAGACCATGGTCCAAAGTGGGAACCATCTAAGTGGAATATTATTAACAATGTAGCTACTCGTAAAGCAAAGGCGAGGGCAATTACGCTCAGACTGCAGAACTTCATTCATATTAATTAGCAGTGCTGAAGTTTTCTTTACAGAAACTGGAAATTTTGGGAACTCTGTTTATGTAGTAAAAGTTTAGTAAAATGAAGCAAAGTTTTTACTGTGCAGCATGGAAAATTTAAAGATAGTTCTATATAGATAGATAGATAAGATCGATAATAACCATAAGGAGTTAGTATGTTGTATATCCCGAAACAGGATGCCAGGATGTGACAGGATGTGTTTTCGTTTTCCCTTATAATTCAAATTCAACTTATCTATTAAACCTGAATGTCTTCATATAACAACACTCTTATTGTTGTAGAACCCCAGAAATCCAGGAAAATCAATGCCGACATCAGCTAAAGTTGCCAAACAATGGGCGACAAAATGGGACATGTTTTTTTATCGCGCTCTTGGCACTTGGCACATACGAGTACGAGTACGGCACCGCAGATACACCTATGATGGAAGTACACCCATGTGCCATACAGTTATGGGGGCATACAAATATTTGTATTGTTTGCCTTCACCTGCAGACGATGCGAGTGTCACTGTCTGATGCATCTGTGTACCGCGTTGACTGGCTGTCTCTCTGGTTGAGGCTCCTGTTGCTGTTCGCTGTCGGCGGATCCGCTATCTGCTGCTGTGGAGTCAACACGGAACAACACTCGTCATAAAATTTCATGTACAAACCAAAGCCACGGCACATGCGAGCTTAATGACAGGGCAACAACAACACAGAGATCAAGAGACAGGGAGAGCTGAAGTAAGCGCGAAAATAAATGTAAAGCATTGCCAAATATGAGAAAAACAAATAGTTAGCGGTAAATGGCATTGCCATGGCCAGCCACAGGAGCAAAATGAAATTATCTGACTCGCTCTTGGCATTGTTCAGCGGCCTTTATAAATGCATTATGCCAGGCACTCGTGTGCACTGCCAGAGCCAACGAATGCGAGTGGTAAGAAAAATAACAGAAAAGAATGTAAAAAAATGTCGTATTTTCATAGCGAAGTTTGGAATACCCTTGAAAATGTAGTTTTGTTGTGAGCTAATCTTATAGAAGTTATACAAGTTTTAAGTGAATGGCATATGGTTTCCAGAAAGAGAAATTTCAGAGCATAACAGAGTTCTCAAAAAGGTAGCTATACTGTTTTTAAAGGCAAATAAAAAATCGTATGCAGCTGTGGGGTTGTGCAAGATGGAGCTGTTGAGCGGTAACACGTGCGACCTGCCAAAAAATGCAGCCAAGCATGCAACGCGTGGGCGACGTCCTGTGAACTGACGTGAGTAAGGTTGCAGCAGCAGGGGACCATGGGTGCGATGTTCGCCCCTTTAGGTGATGTTGGAGCGTGCTAACCTGGAAATTGCGTTATGTGGAATTCATTATATGTGTCACATTCCAGAGCGCCAGTTCTATTTTCGTTTTTCATGTTCCATCTCCATTTTTTTAAAGTAAATTGCAATGCAATATTTAATGTTAAAATATAAGCTTTTACCTAATTTGATCGAATTATGGTTCATGGTGCCATTAAATCATCAAATTCAAATCCCAATTAAAGTTAGTAGAAATGTTATAGTTTTTTGTTGCATGTTGAAAGGCAAAAACTTGTGACATCATTTGGCATTTAGTACTGCTGCCCGGCGAGCAAATCAAACTCAAATTGTATTCATTTGTTTTTAAATTATTCAGCATGGATTTTAATGAAATTTGCCCATTCTTCAAGGCGAGTTTGAAATTCAATTTCCATTAGCTCGACGGAAAACTTTTTAATTATTTTCCGATGTTTAACGAGGAGGGTGAGGGTAGGTTAGCCATCAACTTTTTATTCGCTTGCAAATGCTGCAAGTTTTCCTTTTGTGCGACAATTTTTGTTTCGCATTCACTCCGGCAAAAAGTTTGTTATTATTTTTGGATTTTTCCCTTTATTGTGACATTGCGCACGCATACACTCAACTTCAATAAAAAAGTTTTAATTTTCCAGCTGTAATAGAGAACGCAACAGCCACGCATCCATCCTGAGTGTATTAGCATGTGAACGAGTGTGCATGTGGGTAACTGAGAGAGCATGTGAGTGTCTGAGTGAGTGTTTTAATGTCAGCATAAACGCACATGAAGCGCACTTAACCTGAATTATGCGCGGCTTTGCGCAGACACGCACAGGGGAAAGTCCCCCTCGTGTCGCATTCTGGTCGTAGTCCCTATTCCATTCCTACTCCAGCCACCATTACGTAAGCTAAATGAGAGGTCCATGGTCGTGTGAATGGGATACCTAGTACTCAGTAGGGCCAATCCGGATATTGAAATCCGCAAGAATTTCTTTCATTTCGGCTCATATCTGCGCAACTTGTTATTTTAATAATGCAATTTTTAAATTTCCTATGAGTCTATATGTAGTACAAATATTTTGATAATTGTTTTTCATTGTGAATTGTCGGGGACCTCAAATTGTAACATATGTATGTACATGCCCAGAGCTCTAGCATACCCATTAACTTGACAAATACTGCATATAACAAAAAACGGGGCAAATAAAAATGCTAGACACTCGAGCATGCAAATAATTGCAGCATTTGTATGAGCTTAACCCATTTCTGTCAGAGGATTTTTCCTTTCATTTCTACCGCTCGATACCCATTGGCTGTTCGCTGTTGGGTGGGTGGACCACGTAAAGTTCTGGAAATGAGGTAAAGTTTTTATCAAAAGCCAGACACAGGCGAACTGCGTCAGATCAAAATTTTCCATATTTAATTTCAATCGCAAAACAGCTCTATTGCTGCATACCAGAGCAATAACCTGGCTACTAGGTACTCATAAAAACTGCAGTTTTTAGAATTACATTTTATTCCCATCCAGTGGTTTGACATCTATAAGTAGAGGAATTTAAAGCGAAACGCACACAAAGGGTCTAAGGGTGCACAAAAGCTGCACTAGTACAGAGCACGTAATGCCAAAACATACATAAATCATCACCGCGTCTCCGCATAAGAATATATTTCCGCTATAAAATGGACGTTTCCGCATTTTCGGAGCATCGTCGGAGCATCGTTCGAGCAACGTTGGAGCTTAGCACAAAACAGGAAGTCAGCTTCGGTTTTCGACTTCTCGTTTTGCAGAAGGTTGCTTCTGTGGGCAGCGGAAATGCAGGTGGGGTTCTGTGGGAACTGTTCCAGTTTCAGAAGCTGCTCGATTTGTGGGTGCTTCGTTATGACTGTTTCCCAGAGATGCCTTTTTAATAGTTTCTCAGCTGACACAAATTTGGTTGGTACTTGCACTTGCACACTCAAAGTTTTTGTTTTACTTCGGCAATTAATTCTTTTTCCAGCTGCAGTTAGTTCATAAATTTTTCATTATGTGAGTGCGCGCCGGAAAATACATTTATGCGTTTTTAAATGCTTGGCAGCATTTAATTCTCTCGGCACTCTCGACCGGATTTGAGGAAGCTGGAGCATATAAATTTGCAACTGTCTGGCGATAAGAACTGAAAGAGAAGTAGTCTGATTCCTGAATTGCTGGACCCCTGCTCCAGATCTATTTTTACTCCTACTGCAGGTCCTTTTGCTATACCTTCTGGCTCGGTGCTGCCTTCAACTCATTCATCAAAAGTGTGCGCCTTTGACTTTTGAAACAAAAGTTTGACAAACTTTCCTTCTTAAGTCCGGGGCGGGCACGAAATCGGCTGTTGGGTAAAGCAGACAATTTAAAATTACGTTGTCACACAGCTCCATAAAACTTTGTGCTACTTAAATA